TTTTTCTTTCTCTTTCTGGCTTATCTCACTAAGCATGATCTTTTCCAGCTCCATCCAAGTTGCTGCAAAAGACATGTGTTTCTCTTTTTTGGTTGCTGAATAATATTCCACTGTATATATGTACCACATCTTTTTAATCCAGTCATCTACTTTTGGGCATTTGGGCTGCTTTCATGTTTTTCCAATTGTGAATAAAGCAGCTACTGCTGCTATTTCTACCAGAGATGGATGGCACAGTGCCATGGCACACCATGAACTTTGCAGAGGCGAGGGCCAGTGCTGCTGGTTTAGCAGGCTTGGGGGGTGGGGGGCTTGAGGTACAATGGAATGGAGTCTCTTGAAAGGCCCTAGTCTTGTTACCCTCTGTGATCATGCACAGGCTAGTTTTATGTGGGTCACAAAACAGTGGCTGTTTTATATTTGAAGAACAGGTACTGGGAGAGGTTATAAAGGGCAAGAAAAGGTTAAACCTTGTGACTGCCATAGAGAAGGGACATTGGAGGCCCAGTCACAGTGGACTGTGATGACAGTAAACCCTGCCAACTTACCGGAGGTCCAGGAGGTCCTTCTGGCCCTGGTGGCCCAGGAACCTAGAAATCAAAAGGAGGTTAATCATCTTGAGTTGCTCTAAGTAACTCTGTAAACCCTGCTGTCTGACATGACTTCGGGTCCAGCGAGGGGCTGCAAGGCCAGAGGGAGAATTTCCCACTACAGTCTATCCAAAGAAAGCTTAGGACGGGCCAGAAAAGAATAGCAACTCATTCACCTGCACAGTGTTGAAAAAAAAAAAAAAAAAGACAAGGCATTGCCAGAAAATATTCTCAAAATGTTTATTCTTTCAGATTTTCTTGAAAAGTAAGAAAATCTGGCAATAATGCCTGGTGCTAAATAAGAACTTTCATTGCCAGGTGTGGGGGCATGAGGTCATTTTACCCCAGACTCCACCGCTCTCCTTATTGTCTTTAATTAGGACCTCTGTGTTCATGTGTTGCTTGCCTGCTCCCTATAAGCATCTGAATTTGAAGTGGAGACTGGTTGTTTGGTTGTCTGTAATGCGGGCTTGCGGAGAGGTTTCTGAAGATTATTCCTCCCCTAGGTTTGTAAAAGACTGCTTGCTGTACACTCACATGAAGGCAGGGTGAAGTAGGAAAGATTCAGACTGGTTAGTGAAGATGGGTGAGCCCAGAGCTGTCTTCCTCATGAATGGTGTTTACTGCGGATTCTGTCTCTGATGAGGGTAGAATCCATGTCCACGGCCAGCTGCCTGTTCCTTTCTGAGCTGATTATCCCTCTTAGACTCTGGGGCTTCCCTTGGACACCTCGCCTCCCAGGGGTAGAGTCCACCAGAGTGTGGCCAGGGCAGGGCCCCTCCACCATGCCAGCAGACAGAGCCCTGCACTGGGCAGACAGGGAAGCCCTAATTCCCCTGGCCTGGTCCTGTGGACCCCTCAGCTCCATAATACTATAGTCTCCTGGCAGGGGAACATACCCTTCAGAAACTGCTTTCTTTAAAAAAAAAAAATCCATGCATCTTGATTATGGTAGCGGCTATTCAAATCTATGAATGTATTAAAGCTAACAGAACTATACACCCATCCCATCCCCACAAAGTCAATTTTACTGTGGTGGGCACTAGAATGGCAGCAGCTGGGGGGAGGCTAAGAGGGGGTGCCACTCAGAAGAAGGGTCGTAAAATAAAATATGGGGCTCTCCCTGATGGCGCAGTGGGTTGAAGCACTGCATTATGAAGCTCTCTGAAGCCACTGCAGCATGAGTTTGATCCCCAGCCAGGGAAGTGACCCACACCGTGCAGCAGACCTCTCCTGACCCGCCCGCTGCTCCCCTCAGCAGTGTGCTTTGTCGATCTGCCTGTTCTGCGCCCCTCTCTGTTTCTGGTGAGTCCTCTCACTGTCCCTGCACCTCTGGCCTGTACCCCAGTTCTGAAAGCATAAATAAATAAATCTTTTAAAAATTATAAAAATAAGAAAATAAAATATGGAGGGTGTTCTGTCAATGGGGTTGAGGGACCTGACTAATGGGGGAGGTGACGGAGCGGCCCTGAGGCTCTGGGTCACCCCACATGGCATCCAGTGAATGCTCAGTTTCTTGCCCCTCCCAAGTCAGGCAGTGGTGAGGTTTATGCTGGAGTCTGGACATGTTTTCTGTCTGCCAAATAGCCCCTGTGATACAGCAGGCGCCACCTACCTCCACTCCTGGGTCGCCCTTCTCCCCCGGTTCGCCTCTCTCCCCCTGTGGGCAGAAAATACCCAAGTGTGGATAACAGTACTCAGGGGAGCTGGGACAAGCCAGGCCAAGACTAGACTGGACCTCAGACACCTGGGGCGCTTGGAGGTAGTCAGCCAGGGGGCGAAGGCTGCCCAGCCACGTGGGAGGAGGTGAGCCTGTGGGCACACACTCTGGAAGGGACCTCTGGCTTGTTTCTAATCTACGGCAAAGATCAGAAGGGGAGAGGAGATCCTCCACGATTATTAGAGACTTAATTGTTGCAGACAGATGGTGTATAAATTACATAGACACACACAGTCACACACACACACACACACACACGGCCCTGGCTTGCTAATTCACATTGAGAGACTCTTGTTGGCCTTGGCTTTGAAAAAGCAATATGCTGTACAGTCATGTTTCATTTAACAAGGGGGTTCCCAGGTTCTGAGAAATACAAGAAACGTGCCCCTACATTTCCACATTAGACGAACGTCACAGAGTGTCATTATGCAAGTCTTGCTGGGTAGCCTACCCCACACCCAGGCCAGCAGGTACCGACTAAAAGACCATCGTCTACATGCTGACTGTCCTCAAGTGAGATGTAGTGAGGTGATGCGTGACAGCAGTGTGAGCGGCCTTCTGTGCGGGGGCTGCATGTCGGCTGGTAGGCAGCGTCCGGTTGCCGAGCTGCTTATAGTAAGGAACTGAAAGATGCCAACAGCAGAGATCCCAGCTGTAGGGGAGAGTGTGGCTCCGACCCTCAGCGGCCTTTCAAAGCCACAGGCAGGAGACCCAACTGATACATGGCAGGATTCTACCCATAGGAACCATGGGACCAGGTGTGTGTTGTGTTAAGTCACTAGATCTGTGGTGATTTGTTATGCAGTGACAGAAAGTGAATAGCTCCAGAGAAAGAGCAAGGCCCGCTGGGGGAGGGTAATGAGGGGGTCCCCTGCCCCTCCCCAGAAGCTGTCCCATAGCAAAGGGACTATTTCTAGAGGTCACAAGCTGCTTTCTTGGCCTGGCTGAGAGGTTCCTGGCCAGGGTCGGAGTGAGATCTGAAGAGCTCTTTCTACTCCTAAGGAGAGAAGTCTAAGTCCAAGGTCTTAATGCATTTGAGCAAGGCTGGCTCCTGAAGACAGAGGCCATTTGGCTGTGTCTTGAGGGAGCTGGAACCCCTGTTCATAACAAATGCCCCTCAGGGAGACACTCCTTATCATCCTTTTGATGATGGGAGTCCTTTCATCCCAGGCTGGGGGTTAATGTGGCCCCATGACAGTGCCACCCACTAGGATGGTGACAGCAGTGAGGGGCACCCTGCTCATGTGTCCTCACCCATAATTGCCTGTGACGACCTCAACACCCAGCCCTTCAGCCTTACTGTAAATCCTGGGAGCCCAATTGGGCCAGGCAGTCCTGTTGCTCCAGGTCTCCCTTGGTCACCTGGTTCTCCTTTCTCCCCAGTTGGGCCATCTAGACCCTACAAGATTGACAAAGATTTCTGTCAGTCAAGTTCAAGATTGTCACGCCAAATGACTGCAGTGGCATGCATGGCCTTCTTCCTCCATGGGGGGTGTCTGAGGGTGGTACCCACTTCATAGGCAGAAAGCCATGCACCTAGCTGGACTGGGCCTAAGTCTTCTGCGTGCTTCCCCAAGAGACACATTTAAGCCCAGCCCATTATCTCCCTAGCCCAGGGAGGCATTGCCATCTCCATTTTAGAGATGAAGAAAAGGAGGCTTTGTCAGGCCTGGTGGCTTTCCCAAGGACACAGACAGGAGATGATAGCATAGGACCAGCACCTTGAGGTGGGAAGGTGGCCTTCAGAAAGCAAGTGACTCAATGGGGCGCCAGGTGAGTGCCCCACCCCCCAACTCCTGGATCCAGCCCTGGCCATAAGTCTCAGCTGCGGAGGTAGTGAGGTGGTTGGGGTCATGCTGGCAGCCACCCATCCAGGCACTCACCGGTGAGCCTGCCTGCCCTGGCTCGCCTTTCTCCCCCTTCTCTCCTGGGCTGCCTGTAAGTCCATCTTCTCCCTTCATCCCTGCAGGTCCAGACTTTCCTGGGGGGCCTTGGGGACCAGGAGGGCCCATGTCTCCTGGTTTGCCTCGAGGTCCCTTTAGAAAATTTCAAAATGCTGATTAGATACACTGATGGAGAAGAGAGAGAGAGATGAAAGAATGGGAGGAATAGGATTTGGGTCTGAGGTGCTCAACTAGACCAGACAAAGCGCCAGTGCAACTCCCTGTGGGAACCAGCACGGCTGAGACTCCAGCTCAGCTCGGCCCAGCCCGCCCAGCTGGTCCAGCGAGGGCCTGCAAGGCTCCTTCTGGACCCAGTATTGTGGGCCTTCCCTGGGCTTCTGCAGGGTGGCCAGGCCCCCTCCCCACCCTCCTTCCTGCTCTCTTCCCCACAGGCTCATCCCTGGACCTCTTCCAGAGCCTTCTGCACCTTTTCCCACCCCCACCACCCCCTCAGGACAAGGACCAGCTTCAGAGATTTGCTTGGGAGTATTTGCTCTCACCTTTTCTCCATCGTGTCCTGGAGGGCCTGGCAGTCCAATTTCCCCCTGTGGCCAGAACAACTAAATGTCACCCTCGGAGCCCTCAGAGCAGAGAATGGTGACTCACTTACCCAGTCCTTCCTGTGTACCTTGCTCGGCACACCGTGTGACTTGCGCTGTCTCTGTTTTACCATAAGGGCCCAAGCCTGGAGTGGGGTGCCCACGGCTGGCAGTTAGTGACAAGTACAGCCAGACCCCAGCAGGCTTTCTGGCTCCACAGCCCATGTTTTAGCCACAGCCGCCCACTGCTGCCTCCCAGACCTCAGAACACTTACTCAGGGGAGGGCGGCTGTCTTCCTGTCCCCCCAATCCCAGTTCTCCGGCCCTGGCTGCCCCACAGGGAGCCTCCTTCCTCTTCACACCAACCCAAGCTCCCTCTTTAGGTCAAGGAAGGACATAGAGAGGTGGGGCCTCTGTCTTTGAGGCCAGGCACATGAGGGTAGAGTTAAAGAACAACAGAGAGGAAAGGCAGTGAATTCTTCTTCATAGATCAGGAGAGGCTTCAAAGAGGAGATTGTATTTGATTTGGGTTGCAATATGAGAAGGACTTTGAAAGGTAGGGAAGAGCGAAAGGGACCTCAGGGCAGGGGGCTTCATCAGCTGAGGACAGAAGGGCAGTGTGCAGGGCCCTCTGAGAGGAAGGCCAGAGGTGGGGCAGCATATAAGAGGGAGCAAAGGGGAGCAAGGGGAGGCAGGCAGGGTTTGTTTTAGTGTCATGTCCCCTGATGGTGGGTTGGGGTCCCTGCTGTGGGTCTGGCTAGATGGGATCCCTGCTAGATGGGGTCCCTGCTGTGGGTCTGGCTAGATGGGGTCCCTGCTGTGGGTCTGGCTAGATGGGGTCCCTGCTGTGGGTCTGGCTAGATGGGGGTCCCTGCTATGGGTCTGGCAAATGGGGTCCCTGCTATGGGTCTGGCTAGATGGGGTCCCTGCTAGATGGAGTCTCTGCTGTGGGTCTGGCTAGATGGGGGTCCCTGCTGTGGGTCTGGCTAGATGGGG